TAACTTACAGGTGACAAAATGTGCTCTGGATTACTCAGAGGACCAGAGTATGGCACACATTTTAAAAGCAGACACTGCTAGTTGACAGCTAGTTAGCGAGATTGTTCAGATAACTGCACTTCACACTAGAGCACACTCTCCTACTGATGCACAGGGACACTGTCTCCATGCAACGAGTTGACAATACACCCTTGACTATGTAACCTGCTATTTCTATGTGGGTTTTTTTAAAAATTAAGGCATATTTAAATGTTTCCATATACAAGATTATACCACTTTAAGTTGAATCACGTAATGCAGATCCATGTATAAATGACTCCCAGTATAAGTTATGCAAATATACCACTCTTTTATAGTCTGCTTATCTCCACAGCAAGAAAACTCCATACCAGTTAGTTAGGTATCATGTTCACAACTGTAATTTTCAAGGCAGTAGAAGACAAGATGAAGTGACAATTCTTAAATGATATAAAATTTATGCTTTACAAGAAATCAGAAAGTACTACTTCTTTCTGTTTACAAAAAAGACTGCCTATGAAACACTACATTCAGAAGAAATGTGATCATGTAGGCAATTATGAAATGGGTTGAACTCTGCTTCTCTGGAAGCCACATTAATTTTTCAGTGAATTTGACTTTCAGTGCAGTTCCAATTCATGCTTTTAGTGATACATTACAATTTCCAACATGTTAGGATAATTTCAGTCATTTGAGCCTTCAATGGCATGCTTATAAATTATGGGTTTGGTATTTTTTTAGTATGGTCAAGGTAGGAAAGGAATTCAGGACTTTAATTATAAAATGCAGCATCTTTCTCTGATCCTCTTAGCTAGGCTTTTCCTTTTCTTCTTCCCATTCTTCTCTTTGCTGTCTTCCATCTTTCTGGCTCTTATTTCTCTCATCAAGTCGAAAAATACCTAAAATTATAAAAACAAATGATAACACACATGATTTATTGATACTTATATGCTGAGTGAACATAAATGATGATATTTAATGCATCTTGTTTGAATGAGAAAGTCCCAAAATAGGTTCCCCTTGCTTTATGCTGTACATGCAATCTTGGATAACGGCGCATAAGTAGAATATGCATAAAGGGAACCCACTTTACAATGCAACAAATAGGGATACATTCCAAGACCTCGACTGTACTGACCCCCAGACCCATTTCTACCACTTTTACAAGACAGTTTTGGTACTCACCAACAGCAGTTTAACAGCATGCTGTGCTTTGCACCCAGCTGCAGCTGCCCTGGGAGCAGCGCCACTGGGTTGCACTGTGCCCCCTGCCCACCCGTGGCGAGATGCACATGGTGTCGCGTTGCTCCTGGGGCAGCTGTAGCTCTAGAAGCATGGGCACCAGCTGCCCTGAGTAGCAGGCTTCCACTACACCGATCGAGTGAATTTACCTTGCATATAAAATGGATTTTTGGTATAAAAAAGGTCACTGCATAAAAGTGAATTTGCACAGACAGAACCACATAAAGCAAGGGAAACTTGTACCTACAGAAGGCCTGGGTGAAAGGACAACTAACCTTAAGTTAACCTTACTCCTCTTACTAGTTTTCCAAGGACATGCAATTTTTTCAATGTCTGGTTGGTTCACCCCTTCCTCTGACATTGAGCCCCATCTATTCCCAAGATCACAGATTCATAGAAAAGTAGCTTTGGAATGGACCTCAGAAGGTCATCCAGTCCAACCCTCAGGAATAGGAATTTTAGGAATAGTCTGGTCTGATCTATTCCTAAAGCTACACAATCAACTCTGTCAGGACCCCCCTACTACAAAGCAAACAATCCATACCAGCATGACCACGGAATAAGATTCCTTCTTGATCCCAAATGTGCTAATTATTCTGACTCTGAGTGAAAGGGAAAGATTCTCCAACTAGGAACCTCCAAGCACTGTCAGATCCCAGTAAAAATCCTGAGCCTTAGGTGTAGCCAACATCTAATATTTCTGACCAAGGCCAACTGCCCCCCTCCCCACCATGCATAGCAACAGGTGGGGAAAAAATTCCTTCTCAGCCCTCTGTGGCAAACAGCAAACCTCAGAAGTGTAGGAAAAAAAAACAGACACCCTCCCATGCTGCTCTACAACTTAGGGACACCAAACATAACTCTACACATCACACCCTCTAACAGCACAGTTCTCCTTTCTGCACCCCCTCTATAAACTTCTCTCAACTCCTTTAATGTTTTTTCATAACTAAATTAGTTGCACCTCTTCTTTCATCTTGTGCTGCCAACCTGGTTCTCTCCAATATCCATCTGCTCTGGGCTGCATAGCTCTTCTTGTGATCTCCCAGCAACGTGCATATGGAGCGGCTCCCAAGCTTCCAACTGCTACTCTTTATAGCACACTCTAGGCATAGCTACTCCCTAGACCATTTGCTGACCAATGCTTATCCATCCTCTTTGAAAGTCACCAATGAAGGACATTCCAACACTTCCTTAAGCAGTCTATTCCACTGCATCACTGTTCTAATAGTGAAGATTCCCCCCCTTCCCCTCCCCGATATTTAATCTAAATCTACTTTGCTGCAACTTCAAGCCACTGGTATGTCATGTTTTCTGCAGCAATGCCACATTTGGGATCAGGAAGCTTGTTTTAAGGCCTTCCAAAATGCTACAAGACTAAATGCCATGCCCCCATCGAGTCTTTAAAGCTTACTTCCATTTCTTACAGGAAAATATAGCTTAAATCATAGCATAGTTGACAACTGCAACTTTAATTGGTTAACAGAAGCAGATAGAACTATCTAGTTCCTGAAGTCTCATTTTTACTAGATCAGGTACACACTAAGATACTTTATTCTGTTTTGCAGATTCCATTCATGATTCAAGTCTAAAAACTAGGGATAAACCAATAAAGATCTTCTTGGCCGATAGCAATAGCTGATTATTCACCAGACATATTGGCCAATACTGATCCAATAGCTGATTTACAGGAGCACAGCTGGGCAGTGTGGAGAGCAGTGCCCTGCAGGTAAGTCTGTGGAAGGGATAGGGGGCAGATTGAGGCCCCCACAGTGAGGGAGAGAGTAGTGCAGGGGAAGAGGACACTGCCCAGCCAGGGCAGTGAATGGGACCCTGGGGCTGCAGCAGGGAGTGGGACAGAACTGTGGGCAGTGCAACCAGGGGATCAGAGTCCTGGCACTTAAAAACGGTGGTGGGGGTGCTTGAACTAAAGCTCAGCCACCATTTTTAAGTATGGGGATGCTTTTAGGAGCGTGGTGAGGGTGGAGGTGGGCTGCCTGCCATGGGCTTTCTGCCCTGCTGCCTCTAGAGCTGCATGCTGGCCATGTGTCCCCTGCCTGTCCAGCAGTGGAAGGCACAACTCACCAGCACCACTGCTGCCAGACAGGCAGGGGATGCATGGTCAAATGCAGCTTGCAGGGCAAAGGCAGCGGGACAGAGAGTGCTAAGCCCACAGTGGGCAGCCCGCCTCCACCCAACACACATGCTAGCCCATGCCTCCCCCATGGGTGTGTGCAGCAGCAAGGAGCCGCCCCACTCTCCACCCCCGTGGCTCTCTCATTCCCTGCTCCGGCCCCAGGGTCCCATTCATTGCCCTGGCTGGGTAGCACCCATCCAGAAGGCATATTATATTTATTGGTGACCATCAGCTACACCAGCAAGAAAAAGTTGATAGCCTATAATGTTAATTTTCCTTTTATTGGTGCCAGTCTGATACTGTATCAATATCTTGGTGCACCTCTACTAAAAACACAAGCAAAGAGACTGGGAAAACCCAGCACAGTTCCTGGAAATTAGTTATTTGCAGTGTCCAGTTTGAAAACTGGACTTATTTCTGAAGTGGCGACTCAGATTTTTCCAAGGCTATGTAAACAAGTCTTTAAAATAGCTATTAGCAACAGTTACAGCTCCAGGCACCTTGAAAAGGGAAGGAAAAAATTAGGAAGTGGGAAAATCCTCCTCATCTGATAATGCAATTTAAGATCCTGCTGTCAATTCAGACTTTTAGATGAAACTCTGCGCCAACCTGTATTTGTGCTTTGCACTAGTTTTATTCATTCCAAAGTATTCCAACCTGTTGGGATCCTAAGTGCTTAAATATAAAACACTCATCTTCAAGAATTTATTTTAGTGGATGTATTTAAGCCAATTCTATGAGATTTCCTTTCTGGAAAGGGAATTGTCATACAGACATCCACACTTCCTAGGAGTTTACATAGTATATTATTTGAAACATGTTGTGGTGGCCTCTCGTGAACTTTAGAACAGTAGCTTTCTTTTTTCTGTAAAAAGAACATGTTGCCACAGACCAATCACAGAACAATTAAAACTGTGTTACTTTCACTCCACTTATTTTGGGGGGAAAAGTGGCATATTTGTATGAAATTTTCATCTTCAAAAGTCCTTTTGATTTCTAAATGGATTGTTACCTGCCTGTATTCTAAACCATCCAGAGTGTAGGATGTTATCCTTCTTCCCTTACTTAAGCAGCAATACAGTCTTTAGCTGCCTAGACTATTTAGCCTACTTGGATGCTGTTCAATTCTTCTCCTAAGAATTGAACTTCTTTTCTGAAATAGGTTTAGAAACAGACCATGTCGAGCCAAGCGGTTTATTTTTCTAAGCCAGAAATTTAATTTATTTAGATCAACAACTTCAGTTCATATAGTACAGACAGAATAGTTTCAGATGTTTTAAGAAACATTTAAGAGAGACTTCCTGGCACTTGTACAACTTTGTCAATTCACCTCAACCCTGGCCTGAAGATCTCAGGCATTGTACGGACTGAATTAACCATGAGACAGATCGCCGATTTGCTTCTCCTTTTACTCTTCAACTCCATGGGATTAGTGTTGTAGCAGCCATATCACCACTAGCTCTGAAAACCTTAGAGCAAAATATTATTATTGTCTGAAGTGACTGCAGAACTAGCTGTTACAAACACAACATAAAGGTAGACAAAAACTGGCAGCTTCCTGGTATTCCAAGGAAGTCCAGCTCCCAGGTTACATCAGATAATAGGGTAAAAAGGTGTCACCCCATAGGCAACTCATTGATAGAAACAGCCACAGTACATTTCAGGAAGAGGTGGTATACCCGTGTCAGGTAAGTCATGCTGCCAATTTGGCAAGTTGTGCATGTAGCCACCGTATTAGAATTCAAGATAGCTAAAATCAATTCATGTTTTGGTCAATATTTCAGACCCCACTTGGTTAGAAAACTAATTCCAATGACAACACCAACACTGTTGGAACTGAAGTAACTGATCATAACGTGTCCATTGTGGAAGGGACCTCAGGAGGTCATCTAGTCCAACCCGCTACTCAAAGCAAGACCATCTCCAATTAGATCATTCTAGCTGGGTCTTAAAAACCTCCAAGGGTGGAGAGTTTACAACTTGCCTGGGTAACTTGTTCTAGTGCCTACCCTACTAGTGAGAAAGTTTTTCCCAATATCTAGCTAATGTGTCAGGATTTGATTTACCTGCAATTAAGGAACAAAAACCTAAATTCCAAAACATGTTGGATTGAGGCTTGCTGATGCATCAAACAACAAGATCTAAGAAGCTGGTACAAAGTCTCCATCCATGCTGCTGAATGCAGCATACCATATGACAGTGCTGAGCATGGGGAAAGGAGGCCCCCTCCCCCACCCCATGGCCAGCACCCTGCACTGCAGACCACATGGGACTGCCTGTGCCTGCTCAGGACAGCACCATGTGGGCTACAAGTGCCTGCAGCAGGGAGCGCTGGCCACGGGGCGG